TCCTGCTGTTCCAGTTCCAAGCCTGGATCCATCTCTTACCTACCACTAGCACTCAAGGGGCCTTGGTACCCTCCTCTAGCAGTTCAAGGCACTTAAGCAAGAAAGTGCCTCCCATCCTCACATGCACAATTGTACAAAATGGTCCTGATTCTGCCCTGCTCTTCTCTTGGGCCTCAAAATGCCCCTGGGAGAAAGACCCAGAAAGATGTTGTTCCACATGAACCAACCTTAGCCATCCTTTTATGCACCTCCTCTCTCCCATGCCTGTATTTATACACTCTTGACACTGACTGTTACTACTATCCCAGTCTAACCCCAAAATCCCACATCCAACCTCACCCTTTCGGTGGGCCTTGCCTCTAAAGCTACTCACAGGACTGAAGCTGGCTACTGAGCAGTGCCCTCAGCTCTTCACGTCCTCTCTCAATCCCCTCAGCCTCCTCCCTTTCATAAATATTTTCAGCTCATTAGGCAGTCCACTTGGCCTGCTCCATGCTTAGGCTCCACTACCAAGTCCTAAGGTACAGTTATGAGGTCCTTTGGGAAAGTGGGACAGGAAGGATACAAGACAGTGGAGGGCCAGACAGGGAAAGAATGAGTGGTCAAGGACCTGCACACCAGTCAAATCTTTTTAAATAGTCTCCAAAGGCTACTGCATGGGATTCTAACATTGTCACAAATGATGTGGCCCTATGTTCCATCCCCTCTAAATCCATAACCAGCAACACAGAATTAATATAGAAACAAGAATAGTGCTTTTTGTTTTTTGACCATCAGGGGGAAATTCTGTTAATCCAACAAGACTCAGAAAAATAATAATCTGGTTCACAACTTGGTTTGTTACTTAAATGAGAACTTATCAGGAGGCCACTGATGTGCCCGTCCCTCTGCGAGGCATGGCTGCTGAGATTGAATGTGTCAACACCTGAAAGTATTTGGTAAACTGTAAAGACTTCTACATTTATCAGTTTTTCTTATCCTCTCTCTCCAACCCAGCTAAACTAGGGTTTCTTTAGGGGTAGAAATTCTTTTGCCTGGCACAGAGCAAGCCCTCTGGGAATATCCATTAAGTCTGTCTCCCTGATTAAATGACTTTTATCTCCTCTTCAGAATAGATATTGATACCTTCTTTTTTAATATAAGTTAAATGCTCACATAAAACAAATTATTTTTTTAATGAAGTAACACTGGAAAACACAGAAAGTGAACTGCTTGGTCATATAAAACATACCACTCCCTAGCAAACTTACTTTCAAAGGGCCAGGCTGGCTGAAGGATGTAGAACTGGCCACTTCCAACCCTCTGTCTTTTTAACAAAACACAAAGGAAAGAAAAAGATTCCTCATAAACAGGCCACTGGTTTTTTACATTACAGTTACATCTTTGAAGGTTCATTGATTCCTACACTGACGTAACGTAAAATCTAGCATACGAGCTGTGGCTTGATTTTCCTTATTTAACTTTTTTCTCACGGCATTTGAAATGCTTATTTTATGCGTCTATTATAAGAACTGAAGCTCTTTGGCCAATAAGATACATCAACCAAAATAGCGGGACAGCTCTCTGGACTACAACTACTGTCCTGATTTTTTTTATAATAATACTCTAGAATATGTATATCAATAACAAATTTAACATACTTTAATCTTTTGACATAAAACTCATCACAGTAATACTCTTTTGTACCTAGGCTTTTGGACTTTTTTTTTACTAATCTGTTCTCTTTTCCATCTACATATGTGGCTTCCTTCTCTGCCATCCAAAATAATTCATCAATAAAACACTAGCATACTTAACGGGTGCTCAATAAACATTTGTTGAATAAATGAGTAAATAATTATGAAATACTGGACTAAGGGCCCCGAGAGGTTTACATTAGTTTGTGGAATTGTGTGTTTATATGTTCAGGTCTATACATCAAAATGAAAGTCAATGATAGGCATCCATTTCTGTCTTAGTAACTATGTTTCCAAATATTATACAATTCGAACTACAATGAATATGTGCTGACATAGAGCTCATTTACTATCAAACCACTACTATCTTTTCACTATAAGATTTGAAGTATTAATACAGTACTAATATGGAAATAGTAACTGAAATGTCAATATGCATGTTGTATAAAAGGTCTAAAAGTAAAGAAGCATGCATTATTTAAACCTAATGTTCTATTTTTTAAATGTAATCAACATAATTTCTTAATCATATCTTTTAAAAAAAATTGCACAAAAAAAGTGTCTATTACACTCAGTTAACAAGGAACTTGTTAATAGATGTTTTTCATTTTAAGATATGTAACAAGTAGGCCAGAGAGAATGCATTGTAAGAAACTTTATTAGGTAGAACACTGATATTTAACAACAATCTTAAGTCTACTATACACTACTAATATACACTAGTTTCACCAGTATCGAAAAATTTAATATTTCTTAAAAGTACTTTCAGCCGTTCTTGTTTTTTAACTCATTTTCTTTTGACTATACTATTAGGAAATAATTGAACATAAAATGATTTGTACATAAGTTTGTTCTTACTGAGTTCGCTGGAAAGAAGTTAAGAAATAAACTAGCAAATAATTCTTCTAACTTTGAGGAAAAAACGGCCTCAGATAAACTAAATAAGTTATGTATTTAGCAAACCTAAATGACAAGAGATGATGTTACCCGTTTAAGAAGTGAATGAAAGTAAATATAAATCGGTAATGAGACGGTCAGTATTAAAATGTAGCTGTAATGTAAACTTCGTGACTGAACTTTTTTTGTGTTTCATATAATGTTTTTTAGTATAAGCACGAATGATCCTGTGATCAGTTCGAAAAGGAGGGCTGTGGTCATGCAGACATTTCCTTCCAGTGTCTATCAGCATGTCTTTCATGCCTTGGCGTCCATTTTAGGAGTATCAGCGAGGTAGTGTACAAAAGAGCTTATAAAACAAAGGTTGTCATTTTGGCAACCCACGTAAACACTAAGTGGTCTCATTTTATTGAACATCAAAATGTTGATTAAGAAGCAAGTTGAAGAAAATACTTAAGTTTAGCTATTTAAACACCTGTATTCGATTTCATATATTTTAAAATCGTACTTGTGTATTAAATGTCATTCTCAGGATTGCTGATATGTCACTATCATTTTATAAACACCACCTTCAACAATTGATCACGTAAGGCACGCAATAATAGAAAGCTATAAACCTTTTCTTTTTGTTGTCAGAGGATTAACAAATCAATAATTACATACTCAAAACAAAAGCATAGATCCTGGAGCAGTCTTTTACACTGCCCCAAATGATTAGTACTTATGTGACGATACATGATCTTCCACTATTCTTCCAGTATGTCAAATAAAATCAAAACACATAATTATGGAAAGTCATAACCTAATCCTACAACTGAAACTCTCTTTTTCAGAAAAAGACAATGAGGATGGTCCACAAAAAATACGTGCCTGACAGTTAACCTCTCCTGCAATAATGCTGATTTTTAAGAGCAGAACTATCACAATCCTACTAAAACCAGGCCTGATAGTAAGTATTTATTATTAATAAATAAGATGTAAAGTGTACAGCTAAGTAAAACATCAGGTGGTATTAAAAAGAAAATCGATGAACTTTCTAGATTTTTCCTTCTACTTAAAACATTTTGAAAGAACCAGGCTATAGTAATTGTTTCATTATAAAATGTAACCAGCTAAAAATAATGGAATTTTCCCCCAAGTATTTCAAGCACAGTTTACTACTTCTTATCTAAAAGATTTAAATTTCTATTCTCTATCATTCCCAGCCATTTCTGCCAACATCATAAACATTACCTTTCATCATTCCCTCTCACAATGAGAATTCACTAATCGCATACATCTTTTAGACATAGACACCTCCCCACCCACCTCCCAAAAATGGTTCAGAGCAAAGACACACAAAAAAAATAATGACCAAGCTCACATTTCTTGTTTGCCCTTCAAGCGAAGTCTGGTGTCTTCAGCTTGCCTTTCTGGTCTTCAGTGTTGTCACTAATTGCTGGGGGATGTAGTTTAGGACAGCATGAAGCAGCAGAAATAAAAGCTGTTGCTTTAAGAAAACGTTTTCTTAATTAAGCACATGGATAAAACAACTTTTACTCTGACTTCCTGGCTGGGTTGCATAAAATCCTAGAAAGACTCCTTGAAAAGTTAATGTCTACAAATGGGAAAAATAAAATCAAATAAAATCTAAAAACTTACGTTCTGAACACATTCCGAAGGATGTCTGATTTGATTTGAAAGCAGGTTTGTATTGATGAACAAACTTTATTTTGTAGAAAAATAATAGTCTCTCTAATTAGAAATTTGCCTGCCATCTTCTATATTAATCCTGTCTCTCATGGTATAATCATACATGCAAAAAATCAAATACAGTATTTCCCAAATGCATGGACACTGTGAAAGCTTCGTTTTGAAAAAGGCTTTTATTTCCCTTAATACTGGTGACTAAACGTCATTGTATGTACCAACACTTTCAAATAGCCCAAGAGACTTAAAAAGCCTTCTAAGTTTGAAAACCAAAAAGTTCTGAGTTTTTCTGTACCCCAGGACGGTTTTCTTTCCTGAAGCTCAAGCCGAGAAAGCAGACAAAAGAAGCTGATTTGACTGAGCTGTGCCAAGTCTTGCTTTTTTTTTTCTTTCCTCAGCTCTCCCTCTGCCTCTCTCTCTCTCTCTCCCTTTTTCTCTCTCTCACTCTTTTGCTCCCAGTATGGCAACCTTCCGAGCAGTCTTGGCGGAGGTCCAGGCTGTGCCAGTCTGTCTGAATTCTTGTCTCCAAAAGATGTCCTTTGCGGATCAATTAATACATTTGAAAACAGGAAACTGGTACGGTACCCAAATCCTGGCACCAACAGCATCGACTTCTGCCAAATCACCTTACAGATTTCATGGTATCCTACCTTTCATAATCATTACTAACATGTTTCCGGAGCAATAATGGAGTACTAGAAGCCATTCACTGCTCAGCAATAAGGAATCTGTTCCCTAGAAATGTCCATATGCGACATATGCACAACCTGCAGTAAATCAAAATTCTCCCGTGAGAGGAGATGTATGTAACTTTAATAAGCACCACATACTGCATTTCTTTTTATAAGACTTGCTTTTCCTTGTCCTGCTGCAAGGAATCATGGGAGAATAGAAAAAAGAATCATGCAGATTAAAATTAAAACTATATTCCCAAATAAGTCATGCCTTATCCTGTGGGGAATGAACATGGTTTTGACTGATCAAGTACTTTTATTTTTAAGGAGACTCTAATATAAACTGTAGCTATTCAAAATTTTACTGGAAATAAGGGGCTCTTTTCAAAAGAGAAATTTAAATAAAAAGGAAAGGAAAAACATAGGGTGGATTCAGTAAAAGTAAGTACCTTCAGATTCTGACACCTCAAGTTTCAACATAGTCACTCATTTACTACATTTATACTAGTACAATTTAATATGCATATCTAAGCACTATTTATTTTTATTCGTAGCTTGCATGCCTTTTGAAGCAAAATAGCTAGTCTGCACTTCACACATCTACCTGGTTTAAGAAATCATTTGTTACCTTTGATACTTGAAAATAGAAAATAGTCACACTCTGAAATCACCGTAGTTTCATAAGAAGAACCCAGAACAGTGAGTTCTAGTCCTCAGTTCAGTGACTCCCTAATTTAGGTAACCTCAAAGTCCCAAATATTCTAATCCACCTAATCCTCAATTTGCTCATCTGCCAAACTTGAAAATGAGTGCCTTCTTCATCTGTGTTCACACAATAGTCTATTTATACTCATAATTTACCTTCATACCAACTACACAGGAGCTACTTGAGTATGTGTGCCATACCAACCAGATGTGTCATCCTCAGGAGGATCCATGTGTCATTTAACTAAGAGAACTAACAGTCTTGTACAGAGCCTTCCATATTCAGATTTTCAACAAATCTATTACGTAAATGAGTTATAGAAATGGAGCACATAAAAATATAACTCTGAAGCTCTGCAGAACTATAAAATAGTTTAAGAAAACAAAACCACATATTACTAAATCACAAAGTTGATATATCAGAGAACTGCTACAGAGATATCATGAGGGTTGAATGAAAGCACCAACAAAAGTGTCCATTGCTATCCTTTCAAATAGGGATGCCAAAATGTGGGCAGGATAACAGTGAATTTGTAATTCACAATCAGACTGTTGGTAGTCAGAGGCAAAAAGAATGTTAAAAGCAGCAAGAGAGAAAGGACTGACATACAAGGGAGCCTCAATAAGATTAACAGCCGATTTCTCACTGGGAACCATGGAGGCCAGAAAGCAGTGGGATAACATATACAAAGGGCTGCAAGGGAAAAATAGGGTCAACCAAGAATTCTAGATCAGAAAAACTATTCTTTGAAAATGAAGGAGATAATACAACATTCCCAGATCAGCAAAATCAGAATTCATCCTTAGCAGAACTGCTCTACAAGAAATAGTAGAAAATTTTCCTTTAGGCTGAAATAAAAGTACACTAGACAGTAATTTAAACCCACAGAGAAATACAAAAAGTATAAGTAACAGTAACTATAGAAGTGAACATTAATAATCACATAGGCCCAGCCACTGGTAGTGCAAGTGTCTGCAAGACTGAAAGCAATATAGCCAACCACTAGTTCAGATCCCTGGGTCAGTCTGAAAACATGCTGGACATGGGTTCAGGCAACCAAGGTCCTGAGGACTGGAGAGCTGGGTAAAGGGGATCACAACATGGCAAGACCCTACCAAGAGTCTCTCTCTTTCTTTCTCTCGCTCTCTCATATGCACATGCATATGCTCTCTGTCATTAAAATAAAAATAAATGGTACAAATGTATTTTTGATGTGTAACTTTTTTTCCTATCTGATTTAAATGACAATGGCATAAAGCTATTGTTATAAATCTATGCTCACAATGTATAAAGATGTAATTTGCAACAATAAGAGGATAATGGAGGAATAGTACACAGGTACATAGAAGTAAAATTTGTGTACACAATTGAAAGTAAGTTAATATTAATCTGAATTAGATTACTATCAGTTAAGACCTTAACTCTATACCCCAGGGTAACCACTAAGAAAATAACTGAAAAAAAAACAGAGTAAAATCAAAAACAAAGAAAGTAAAATGTTACCCTCAAAAATATTCAAGAAAAAAAGATGGCAATAATAGAAGAACAGAAGAATTTAAAAAGACAAAGAGGTATAGAAAAATGCAAAGTAGCAGATGGAAATCCTACTTCATTAGGGTTTATATTAGACTTAAATAAATTAAACACTCCAATTAAAAGACAGAGTGGCAGAATGGATTAAAATTTTAAAACATGATCCAATTATATGCTGTCTACAGGAGACACACTTGAGATTTAAAGACACAAATAGGTTAAAAATAAAAGGATGTATGCATATATAAAACATAAACATTTAATCAAAAGAGAGCCAGAGTAATTATATTACAATGAAAATCCACCAAAAAAAAAAAAAAAAAAACCCAACAACAACAACAACAAAAAACCCCAAAAAACAGAAACCCTCTATCTACTGTCTGTAAGAAACACACCTCACAGATAAAGACATAGATAGACTAAAAGCAAAGGGCTGGAAAAAGGTAAAAAAGGTCTGGAGTCGCGATACTGATCTGAGAAAAAATAGACTTTGAGATAAAAACTGTGAGAAAAGACAACGAAAGGCATTATACAGTAATAAAAGGGCTAATTCATCAAGAAGATATAACACAGGACCAGCAGTTGGCGTAACGGCTATGTTGCTGGACTCCCATGTAGTCGACCGTGGTTCCAGTCCCAGACCCAGTGGCTTAAACTCATGCAGGGTGAGTGTGCGTGCATGCCCAAGATCCCGAGAGCAGAATGGAGGAGAAGGGATTGAAGTGTGGCCATCCCCCCTGGGGATGATTTCTCACTTTCTGTCTCTCTCTTTCTGGTGAGCACATATACCCTATAGCAAAATAAATAAATAAATAAAAACCTCTCCAAGAAGATATAACGCTTATAAATGTCTATGCACCCAACTCAGGAGCAACCAGTTATGTAAAGGAAAGACTGCTAGATCTAAAAGGAGAGCTAGACTGCAGCACATTAATTGTTGGAGATCTCAACACCTTATTATCTCCTTTGACAGATCATGTAGACAAAAAAATAAGCAGAGATACAGGATCTAAACAATAAGAGAGAAAAAAACAACAGGAGAAAAAAATAGACAAAAAGTCATGTAATCCTTTTTCAGAAATGCCATAGAGAGGAAAGAGATATAAATATAAGATTTACTATCAATTTAAGATTCTGTTTGTGTAGGAGTCAGTAGGTGGTGTAGTGGGTGTGGCACTGGGCTGACCAAGTTCCAGACCAGGCAGCTTGAAACTCATGCCAGGCACATGTGCATGTGTGCCCCAAATCCTGAGAAGTGAATGGAGAAGGGATTGCAGCATAGCCATACCTCCTGAGAGTTGACTTCTCACTTTCTGTCTGTCTGGCAAGCACACGCGCCCTATAGCGAAAACCTCTCCAAAAAAAAAAAAAAAAGGTTTAGATAAGTCAGAAATCTACTAATAGTATGCAAAGTCAGAGTAACTACTAGAAAAAAATAAACTGCACATAAGACAAAACTTCCTTCCACTTTATTTTCATTTTCTGCTTATTTTTACATTCCTTGGAAACTTTCTAAAGCAGCAGTCAATGAATCAGTCCATCAGAAAACATTTCTCTATCTTGGCACTTCTTCAGAATACTGGTGCTACTTTCCACAGCTCCAGAATATTAAAACTTTTAAGGTAATAAGTTGAAAAAAACTAATGACATTTACCTGAGGAATGGCTGAACTTCTGAAGGACAATATGATTGAAGAAACTGTAAATCTTTTAGTGAAATATCTGGAAGTCCCTAATTTAGGTAACCTCAAAGTCCCAAATATTCTAATCCACCTAATCCTCAATTTGCTCATCTGCCAAACTTGAAAATGAGTGCCTTCTTCATCTGTGTTCACACAATAGTCTATTTATACTCATAATTTACCTTCATACCAACTACACAGGAGCTACTTGAGTATGTGTGCCATACCAACCAGATGTGTCATCCTCAGGAGGATCCATGTGTCATTTAACTAAGAGAACTAACAGTCTTGTACAGAGCCTTCCATATTCAGATTTTCAACAAATCTATTACGTAAATGAGTTATAGAAATGGAGCACATAAAAATATAACTCTGAAGCTCTGCAGAACTATAAAATAGTTTAAGAAAACAAAACCACATATTACTAAATCACAAAGTTGATATATCAGAGAACTGCTACAGAGATATCATGAGGGTTGAATGAAAGCACCAACAAAAGTGTCCATTGCTATCCTTTCAAATAGGGATGCCAAAATGTGGGCAGGATAACAGTGAATTTGTAATTCACAATCAGACTGTTGGTAGTCAGAGGCAAAAAGAATGTTAAAAGCAGCAAGAGAGAAAGGACTGACATACAAGGGAGCCTCAATAAGATTAACAGCCGA